TTTAATATCATCTTGCCGTCTTTGGACAAGGCGGGAAGCTCGCTGTTTGTACAGCTGATGTATTGCTGATTCAAGTTCATTAATCAGTGGCACCTGTAAAAATACAACACACTCCGTAACATCAGATTCTTCAGTTGCTTACTTATTTGAGGGCTCCACTCTATTTCCGGACTTCTGAAAAAATAACCCTCTCTATGGACAGAACAATACTGAATCCCCAAAAGGACACAAATAGTAATTCGTTTTTAGAATATTTAGGAAACATCACTTGTAATCCATGCATAGTGCTATAATGTCCAGTGCCTAGTTATTGAAGCAAAAATTTTGGTTAAGAAACTTAACACTTTAATATTAGTAAAGAAAGAAGAACAGTAATGTAAAAAATGTTTACCCTTTTACTATGCAATATTTAAAGACTGGAAAGTTTTTCTCAGCTTTTGTTTTCTAGCATCATGATCTGTCTCTTAATTTCTGTAGTTACAAGAAACCTTTATCACTGTGTGGTACCACTCAAAAACGCAACGGTTCTGAGTAGGTAAGAACAACAAACTACTAAATACTCAATTTTAGACATTCACATTGCACTGTCAAACTTTTCTACCGAGTGCCTTAGAGTAATGTCATACTGCCTTGCAACTTTATTGCATATTTTAAATGAAAAATGAACAAATCATCAATAGTGCAAACTACATTTCTAGCCATCACTAATTGGTCTGAAATCAATACATCTCAAAGTTGAAAATGTCTTTCTTACTATTAAATCTATGCTTATTTTTTAACAAAATAAAATTCATGTGGAAGTTGAAAAGCGCTCAGAACATTTTCCCCAAGTTAATATCAGAGCTGGAGCATTCATGTTCATTAATACAAAAACAAAAACTTAACAAAACAAACCCAAAACCTTTGTCTATAGATATCTTATGATACAACTAAATGCTATCACACTGTCACAAAACACTAACAACCACTACACATACCTGAGGAAACCAGAAATTCTAGTTTCCTGATGGTTAGTGCAAAGGGAAAACACATTATTTAGAGTTCAGGAACACTGGTACCAAATGTTATATAGCAGCTTCCTGAACTGAATAGACTGTAAATGGAAAATAAAAAAAAGGCAGGTGGAATATAAAGATTTCGATAATAAATGCAGTTTTACATATTTCCAAGATTCCACTGCAAAAAAATGGCAAATGTTCAAAGGTCAAAATGATGTAGTGGTTTTACTCTTTAAATAAGCCACAACATGGCAACATGTCCCTAAATTTGCATTAGCTTTCAGAGCCTGGAGACTTTTAGTATTAAAATTTACTACAAAATTTTTTAGTAACCAATGAAACTATATTATTGTGGCTTACACTTCACCATCTCCTCAGGTTTCTTGATTTTTTTGTTTGTTTGTTTGTTAAAACCACAAAAGGACTAAAGAAAAACAAATATCCCAAAGAGAAACACTCCTTTGGCCTTCTATTGTTAACATTCCTCTACTGGAAAGCCGCACAGCTCTCTTTTGCATCATTCAGGATTTACTTCTAAAATTTCCAGTGAAAATTCTGACCTTTTAACTACCAATGCAATTCTGACAATACAGTTTTGTCTAAGTAACTAGAATGTCTTTTAACAGAGTCCAGGGAAAAATCTGAAACTAAAAACCTCAAGAGCATATCTAGAGCTCTCATTTAATTTTCAACCATACTGCTTTATCTCAGCTTTCACGATAACAAGTTCTTTATGTTATCCAAAACTCTTTACTAGATAGTTTTATTTCAAGATCAAATTTAAAGAAAAAAGAAACAAGCAAAAAACCTCAAAAAGGAAAATGACAGCAGGAAACCAAATTATAGAAAGGTAAAATAGTCTGCATAGAATATAAAATCTGTTAGAAATCCATTTTTCTAAAATAATACATTTACCTTTTTATAATCTTGCCCTCAAGTACTTTTACAGAACTAAACTGAATATTCAAAATTGTCCAATTGTACCTAACTACCAAGATAATTTATGATTTAGCATGAAACAGAATGTGTATGAAAATGTCAAAATGAAAGAACACCAAAAGAAGACACCTCTCTCTTTTAATGAAAATCAGAAAGTAACTTTCTAATATGTGAAATTTCTGAGCTTTGAAAATACTAACCTACTGACTCTGTAAAATCACATTAATAAAACTGGAGACAGATGTCCTCGAGGACATCTTTCTGTGTGCACTCATTAGTCAAAAGAATTTTAAAAAATTTAAAAGATCAAAAGAAAAATAGCTCATTCTGAACAAAGACTTGATGTAAATTATTTTGCCAGTATAAAATACTGATTTTCATTCTATTCTTTGCAGTGATCTGGACTTCAGCTTTGTTAACATTATTTTTTTTTTAACAATATTATTTTATTACACATAAATGTACTAGAAAATAAAACATCCTAGTAATTCTTATTAAAAAAGACTAATTGCTTACTCGTTGCTGTCTGGTTGGAACTGACTGAGAGTTGACCCTCTAGAGGATTTATAAAGCTATGACTTGCACAAAGAGGAGGCTGTACATCTTTCTCCCTCGAACCATTGATGGATTTGAACCATTAGAGTTGGGTTAGCTGTGCAATTCCCAACTGAGTAAACCACCAGTGTTACCCCAAACAATAACAGTAATTAATAATTCTTTTAAAGTTGGTTCACAATTGAAAACTACATGAACTAGAAAGAAGGCCTACTATTCTAACTCAGGAATAGTATACTATAAAGGTTGCTATGAGTTTATATCAATCTGATGGTTAACAGATTTTATTTTTTTAATACTTCAGGTGATCATTCTTTTTTTTACATTATATATATTTTAAATGACTGTGACAAAAGTCAAAGATTTCAAGAAAAAATTTTGTAACAACACAGAATGGTCTAAAACAAAAATCCTATTCTCTAGTCACAAGACTGAGCAGCCACCATGCCTGGCTCAGAACAGCTTTACCAGGAGAAAGGATATAACCACCAACTCTGGCACTTTATGTCTCAATCCCATCCTGACTCAGGCAACCTCACCTTCTACAAAGTAATACAGCCTATGCTTCCTCCCTCCCCCTGAACTTGTCACGTTAAGCCACTGATTTGACATAGAGATATTAAAGCTCAGACTACTTACTTCTCCAGAAACAAAAGGATAAAAGCAAGAACATAAATCCACAGACAAAGCAGTTAAGATGGTGTTTTTGATTTGATGTGACATTAAACCTAATAGAATCTTTAAAATTCATTAGGAATGGAATCTATTTTAGATTTTAGTACACATATTAGATTTCTGAATAGTTACTCAAACAGTCCACTGGGATTATTAAAAAGTTAAACATTCATTTAACTATACCATATGCTTACAGATTTTCTGCTAATCCACACAGCCAATCATAAAGGACAAAGGTCTTCCAATACTTTATGGGTAAGATGTTCAAGGACCATTTTGTATGTTTTGTTTAAGTATTTTTAGAGATAAAGCTGAAAGTTCCATAAATGCTTTCAAACCAATGCACCCAACAAGAAGTCAGTTGAGAAGAAAAGAGATTCCGTATGTAGCCAATTTTAAAAAAGCAAACATTGGTACAACGGAATGTAAAGTTATGTCAACTAATCATTATACTAAAAAATAAGGAACAAAGAGAAGAAATGAAACCTTAAGAGAAATGAAATCCAATGAATGGTTTCTGAAATGAATGAATCAGAGTTACTTAGGTGAAAACAACTAACAGCAATGATGACTAACACTAACTCTCTCTAGGGTAAAAAACAAGAATTAAAAAAATTTTGCTACTTTATGCTCATTTACTCCTCAATCATTAAAAAAAAAGATTCTATTCTATCACATAAATCTATTTTCTAGTAACTCAGAGGAGTCCAATAATCTACCATATTAAGACTTGCTAAGTCTTAATGAAGTCAAGAAAAGGAAGCATGACTTTGCATAGTTTGAAAGTTGAATTCCACAAATATTTTCTCAGAAATACAGAAATGTCCTATACAAGGCCATATACACCTCCCTAATTCTGTTTTATTCAAAGAGATTAATATTTTTGCATTCTTACCTTTTCACTGAAACACTCAAGCAAGTCTTGGACATACCCTCGCATTTCTTGCAAAAATTTATACCGTTCACCAATACCCCCAGAAGACCCTTCTAATCTCTCAATAGCCCTGGTAGAATCCACTCGGCTTTGTAGATGTTTCTCATGCTGCTGTTGATTTGTTTTGTGCAATTCTTTCATGGAATCCAACCTTAAGAACACAAAAGGATAAATATAACACATTTACATCCAAAAGTCTATGCTGTCAGGATGCTTGCAATATTAAATTATAATGCATTTAGTTCCACATTAAGACATAAAAATACTTGGAATGGTCTCTCTTCATCTGCATTGCTTTCTGCTCAAAAAAGGCAGTTTACAGACTTCATAAAAAGTTAGGTGGTGGGCTAACCAAAATTTCACTGTTCTGCATTTCCCCCCATATCTTGACTACACTTTTTCAGAGTCCAAGAGGTGCAAACTCAGAACTGTCTTCAACATGGGAGTAGTACTTTTTTATAGCTTTTCACGGTTTCCACAGAAGTAATCCAAGAAGGTAGCAGAACAAAGTATGAAGTCATCTTCTGTTTAGCTTTTGAAGATGGGCCAGTGAATCTTCTTTGCTGATATTCTGCATCTGCTACCCCAGACCATAAGTCGCCTGAGGGAACGGAAAGCTAGTGGACAGGTCTTTAAGAAGTTGATCTGCCCTACCTGTCTTTAAGCTGTTTCTTTACCAAATCAATAGTAACGGGAGTCCTCTCATTACTGGGAGTTTTGAAAGGGACTGTGTTATCTGGTTTTTGAGATTTGGCATCTGATGATCCATAGGCTGTGTAACTGTAAGGAATGCCATAGGAGGAACCATAAGGCATTGTCTGGTAAGTGTTCTGGTAGTACATATTCACTTCAGCAGGCTGACTTGCTTGAACCTAGAAAAGAAATGAGAGAAATATATATCTATACGAACAACTAACTAAAATTCTGAATCTATGTCTAAAGTTAAAAAAAAAGGAAAAGCTAAAACAAATTATTATATGTACGTTCCAAATGCAAGCAATCCCTGAGTTCCAAACCTTCCGTTTCAGTCCGTATTTAAAAAAGGCTGACACAATGGTTTGTAATAAAAAAATTAATAAATAAAAATGGGGCAACATTGTGATACATGTCAAAATACTGTTAACTATTATGTTCAAGAAGCTTTAAGACATCTGGAAAGCTTTTTATGCATAGAAAAGTACACTACATAAATGTAAACTAATTAAATTTAAACTAATTTAACTAACTCATTTTATATATAAACTGTATCAGACTATTATTAAATTTGGAAGGAACATTTAAAAAAACCCCAAAGCGATCATTTTATCAATGGAATAGAATAAATGACCTGTCTGTAGTTACAGAATAAAGGGATAGATAAGAAATTAAAATCTAAGACTTCTGACACCTCGTCTAAGACTTTTCATATTACACCTCCCCCAAAAAGCCAAGTGCACATAAAAGTCAGCTTCAACACAGTATTACAAAAATAGCTTCCACATATGCAACCTTTTCCACTGTACTATTTAGATCTATAAAACAAATTACTTTCCGTATTTAAGGAAATACTTTTCATCACTCACAATAAACTTTTGCATTACTGAGAAATGATCTTTTTTTAAAATTAGCTTTTTCTTTCTACTAGTTTATTTACAAAATTCAAATACAAATTTGAACAAATTCTTTCAATTTCCCTCACTCCAGACCCATCAAATTGTACAACCCAATGGTTAATCCCTCCCTTCCCCCTGCATATCCACATCCCTCTGCTTCTAGCCTCTCCCACCCCTCCTGGATCCTTATACTCATTCTACAGTAATGGTTCTATACAGTATTTATCCTTATGGAACTGAGTTAGTTCACTCAGCATAATGCTCTCCAGTCCCTCCCAAGTTAGGTAATAATTTACAAAGTTATTGCTCCTGCGTGCTGCACAGTATTCCATTGTGTGAATGTACCATAATTTCTCAATCCATTCATTTGTGGTTGGACATTTGGGCTGAGAGAAATAATCTCTTATAAAATAATTCTTAAAGACAAAAATAGACTATATAGGGAATAAATGATCTAAAACAGTGGTTCTCAAACATTGTGTGAATCAGAACCATTTGGAAAGCCTGTTAAACAAATTGCTAGGCCCCACTCTCAAAGTTCTGCTTCAATCTATCTGGTGTGGGGCTTCAGAATTTGCATTTCTAACAGGCTCCAACAGAAGGCTTTGTCAAGAGACCAGGCAGGGTTTGGATAAGAGACTATAGTAAAAAACAATGATCTAAGAAATTGAAAATTCCTCTAACATTCTGACTCTAAATTTATCTTCATCTAAAAATCTATTGGATACTTTGCCTTGTAAAACTTTGTTAAAATGAATGACCAAGATTCATCTTATCAAATTTTTGCTATAACAAATTGACATTTTCTTCTTAATTCTTACCTGAGGGATATTAATTCCTTTTCTTATCTGTTCCTGTTCCCATCGGCCGAGTTCTTCATCTTGATCCCCAGTTACTAAAGCATCATCATCGCTCCCCTCAATACCTGCATAAGTAAACATAAGTAAAGAAAAGTAAATATTACTAAAAAAGAAACAATGTGTTCATTGATACCACATAGTTTATTAAAACTAACTGGTATTTATAACCAAAACAGATGTCAGAAGAGATTCTGAAACTTAACACTGAAATGGAAAAGAAGTCAAAGCAAGGGGAAGAAATGATGAGGTAAGAAAATTTAACAGAAGAGGTCAAAGGGTAGCATAAGAAGACAAAGCAAAGTATTATAATGAAATGTACAAGGAGCTGAAGTTAGAAAACACAAGGAAAGAAAAGACTCAGCATTTCTCAAGCTGAAAGAACTGAAGAATAAAATTCTTGAGTTCCAACACTGAAGGACTCTATGGACTAAATTTTGAATGACACTGGATGCAACAAAGAAGATGGACGGAATTAGAGCCATCGTACCAAAAATAACTGACACTGAACCATTTTTGGAAGAAGAGTATGATACAAGAAACTTTTTAAGGAAGAAGTCCAAGTTGCACCAAAGGTAAAAAAAATAAGCCCCATGAACTGATAGGTTACCAACAGAGGTGTTTCAGGAAACAGATGCAACCCTGGACATGCTCACTAGTCTCAGTCAACAAATATAGAAGACAGATCCTTGGTCAACCTAATGCAAGAGAGCCATGTTTGTTCCTAGTCCCAAAAAAAGTAGAGGGAATGTGGTAATTATAAAAAATTATCATGCATATCATTTGCAAGTAAAAGCTTGCTAAAGATTATTAAAAAACCACTAGAACAATACATCAAGAGGGAACTACCAGAAATTCAAACTGTATTCATAAAAAGGCTATTGTACAAGACATATCAGGGATGATATTAAATGGCTCTTGGCTTAAAGCAGGGAATATGAGAAAGAGTTTACTTGTGCTTTACTGACTATGCAAAGGTGTTCGACTGTGTGGATCATAACAAATTATGGCTAATACTGAGAAGAATGGGAATTCCAAAACACTTAATTGTGTTTTTGTGAAACTTATAGATCAAAAAGTAGTTTTCAGAACAGAACCAGGGAACACCGCATGATTTTAAATTAGCAAAGATGTGAATCAGGTTTGCATCTTTTATCTATACCTCTTCAATCTAGCTACTGAACAAATTACACAAGAAACTGATTAATGAGGAAGAATGTGGCATTAGAATTTGATATGACTCAACAACCAGTGTAAAGCAGATCACACAACCTTACTTACTGAAAGTGAAGGAAGAGAAGGCCTGAGGCACTTGCTGCAGATAATTAAAGACTACAGCCTAAAAATAAAAAGGGGGGAGGGTTATACCTCAACATCAAGGAAATAAAAATATTCACCATTGGACAAATAGGCAACATGAAGTTGCCAATGATTTGATCTTACTTGGATCCACAATCAACACCCATGGTAACAGCAATCAAGATATTCACAATGCTAAAGAACAAACTAATTGATCTTGAAGAAAGTACCACCAGAGCCATGAAGGGATGGAAACTTCATCTCACCCAAAGGCATATTCTCAGGAGGAACCAATCCTTAGAGAAACACCTCATGCTGAGAAAGGGTCAGAGAAAAGATAGGAAGACTCTCAACAACATGGAATGAAGGACCCTCAACAAGATGGAATGACACCAGTGACGACCACAATGGGCTTGAGTGTATACAGGATAGAGCAAAGTGCAGACCTGTTGTTGTTCATTGGGTTACTATCATTGATATTCTTTCTTACAAAAATGTCTATTAACTTTGTGTCTCTTAGAGTATTCCTGAAGCTAAAGGCAGAATAATGCAATGGTTAAAACACTTTCTTAGTAACTGTAAACTCTGACTTAAATAAAGGATATAAATCAAATATAGGTTAAAACTGTTAAGTATTACATATACTTAAGAAGTATCAGCACTTTTCATTTAATAGGCAGTCCCTAGACTAAGAATGTCCAATTTACAGATTAACTCCTAACTTCAACACAGGGCTTAGAAACTCCTGTCAGACTGATGAAGTGAAAGGAACAGAGCAGAACCTCCCTATTTTGAGTGATTTGCCATGGTACTCAAAAAGGGGGAAATTAAAGACTTGAAGCCCTGGAATGAGAGATTTAAATGGGAAAAAAGGGAAGAAGTTAACGTGAACCCTTTTAAGAGTGAAACAGGGAATGGCAGGGCTAAGGAAAGCCACACACTCAGAGTAAAGCGTCAGCCTCCCTCTTGGAGCAGGGCAGCACCACTTTTGAAAATTTGCTTTAATATTATGTCAATCTGCCCTTGTTTTCCAACAAGTGAATCAACCCTTAAGTAACAATACATTCTTTATCACAATCATATTCAAGTGCTTCAAGTGTAGCTTTTAAACTACTAAAAAAGCTTCAAGCATTTTTTGTTTTTTTGCAATAAAGAAAATCTAAACAAGAATCACATCCATTTGTTCTGAATGATCTATAAATTTTCAGTTAGGAATGGAAATTGTCTGTAACCTGAGGACTGTCCGTATCATCAAACCATATTCAACAACAATGCAAGGGGCTTACTATCCTATTGAACTATGTTACCTATTTCTTCAGCAATTTTTTGTCGTTGTGACTTTTCTTTCACAGAAAAAACAATACGCCGCTTCTCATCATCATCTTCATCATCACTAGCATCATTCTCATCTTCTCTAACAAGGCGGCCTTTACCAGGCTTATTATCATGAGGCGTGAAATCCCCCAATTCCCGAGCCATCTGACGCTTTTTCCTTGCAGCATGTATAAAAGCAGCATCTGGAATTTCTCCTGAAAACAAACAATAAATGATATAAAACATAGCCATATAAGACATAATTTCTCTTTTGCTTTTTATTTTTTTAAACATAAATGGTAAAATCACCTCATCAAGATAATCTTGAAATAATGATTTTCTAGTGTTACAGTAACTGGGGCAAGGGGGGTTGGTGTGTCAGAATTAGTGAGACTGGCTCAGGACAGGGAAGGGTTCAGAGCTGCTGTACATACAGGGTCACTATACATTGCAGGTGACTCAATGGCATGTAACAACAGTAACATATTATGACAGGTTTAGAAGCAAGAGTGGCACTTCTTAAACAACATGCCTCCAGAAACTTGATGAAATTTGAAAAATGGTAGTTTTAGAGCAGCTTCAGGCCTTTTGTTCATAGAGTTGTTATGAGTTGTACTCGACTTGAAGGCAATCAACAACTATTAGCTACTAGCATCCCTTCTAAAAATGTACTTGTGGTTCAGCATATTTCTTAAAAAAAATTTTTAATCTGAAATGTTTACTAATGAGGGAATAGATGGTTATACTGCCTGGTGAACTATGATTTTTTTAAAGTTGATTTTTAAATCTGGTATATTTGGAGGTCTTTGAATTTAGAAGTTAGAAGGAAGAGAACAACAGGTATTTATTTAGCAGATATTTTAAAACTCCATTTAAATGGAAAAGTCACAGAAATATGTAACAACAGTACATATGGGGAACAATGAAAGGAGAGAAAAGGAGTAAATACAACAAAGCTGTGGTATTTGTTTAGTATTAAAAAAATATTCATTTCTACTTGTTATTAAACTGGAAAACAGATAAAAAACAAGTCACCCACTATTTCATGACGCTAAAAAACCACTATAGACTTACATATTCCCTTATAATAAACTTGTAATTCTGTACTACTTTTTCTTCATAGTAAGTTATAATAAGCTTTTTTGATATTGTTGTCCTACACAAAATGTCTGAAAAAAGTATAGTTTATAATATTTACAATACAATCACATGATTTGACTATTTTCCCCATACAGTAAAAATGACTGCAATTTTACTTGTCTATTATTTTCACAATGATGTAATATCCCATAAAGCCAATATATTTTCATTTATGAAGACATTCCCTTCTTACAAGACATATTTTCTAAATTTTGGTCATTTGAAAAAAACAAAACTGTTACAATGAAAACACTAGATCCTTACTACAAATTTCTAGAAATGAAATTATAGCCAAAGGATATTATCTTGGACTCTATCAATACCTATTAGAGCTCTGGCAGCCTAGTGTTGAGGAGCTGTGTTGCCAATCCAAAGGTACGTGGTTTGAATTCACTAGCTGCTCTGCGGAAGAAAAATGGGCAATAACCTCTCATGCAATTAAATGTCTCTCAGAACCAGCTGTGACTTGGTTCCAACTTGAAGGTACCTAACAGTGCTAAACTAGCACATGCATTTTTAATTTTATAAATTAATAGAAGTTAAATAGTACTTCTGCATAATTTAAATTTGACAAAACCTATGTATTAAAAAGTCAGTTTATAGATTTACAAACTACTTTCTCTCAAAAAGACAGAGATTATGAAAGAGCAGCAAGTGTTGCTTCTTAGTAGCAGTTCTATAGAAAAGTTTTATATAAAAGACAGTTAGCTTCATTTAACATGTTAAAAAATACTTTATCCATATACTTGAAATCTCATTTGCACTGACAAACAAAACTGCCTCTATCTGGGAATAAATCTGAGAAAGCTGAAAGCTTGCAGTGATGTTTATTGGCATACAGAAACATTCTTGTTCCACAAAGAGATTTAAGAATAAAAATAATTTAGTCTCTCTCAATAATCATCTTTAAAGATAATCCACTCTTAAGGACCTTTCCATTCTAAGAAAGATTTCAATTCTAAGTACCTACCTGGACGAAGAACATTCAAAGAAGATAGAGCATTTGAAAAGGTTCCACCGGTTTTTGGTTTTTCTTCTTCTTTCTCACTTTCCATGTCCATTTCATCTTCACCATGTTCACTAATAACTCCATCTTCCTGATTTAGATCCTTAACATGTCTTGTTTTGTCCAAAGATTGTTCACCTAAATTGTTTTAAAAATTAATTGGTATATTTAAAATAATCTCCATAAATTAAAATGTTGCTGTTTATTAAATTATGGATTTACTCCATTAAAACTTGAATTACTTTGCTTATGAAAGACTCATCTAAAGGAAATAGGAAGGATCCAGAGGGGATCTGGAATGACAGGATAATGGTGGACATAGGTCAATAGTGATTAGTTTTATAAAACATAATGAATGGGAATGATTGCATGAAACACAATGTATACCACCTTTGGATGCAAACCAATATAATTTTTTTTCTTAAAAAAAAGAACTCATCTGTTGTTCCATTAAAATAAATTACCTTAATAGAAACCACCAAAAAGAAATATATTGCCTAGTAATATATTTGAGGCCCTGTTCAATCCCACCTTCAGTGGAATTATTTTTATTAAATTAACTGTTTGTTCCTTTAATCTCCCCTAAGTAGCTGCTTATGTATCTTAAGTTTATGAGAGTATTCTATTAAGCTCCAAATCCATTTAAGATACCCTGATGTTAAGAACAAAGTTTATTTAGAAATCTCTGTAGTAAGATGACCTATGGAATATTTTCTACCAAAGTCCAAGCTGGGTTTAGAAGAGGTCGTGGCACTAGCGACATTATCGCCAATGTCAGATGGATCTTGGCAGAAAACAGAAGAATCAATGCCTTTGAGTGGTGGTGCTCGAGAAGAGTACTGAAAATACCATGGGCCACCAAGTGAGCAAACAGGTCTGTCCTGGAGAGGTTAAAAGTAGGTTACTCCTTAGGGGCAAGACTCTTAAAGCTCAGTCTCAGATACTTAAGTCATTCCAACAGAAATAGTCTCTCAGTAATGATTTTTTTAAAAAATAAAAAAATGTACTTAGAAAGCAACTTTGTTAAAAGTAGAACTGTATTGCTACTCAATGTGAAGCCTCCACAATCAAGAAGATAAAACTGATCAGCTCATATATTATCTTCCCACACAATCCATTCAATTAAAACAAAATTATATCAATTAAATTCCATTCCATTAAAAGAAAACTTCCATTTTACTATTTCAAAAGAATTGTATTACTTACTGTCAGCTGATGAGTTGAGTTCTGCCTTAATCTTGGATTTTTCAAGATCTTCTTTGTATTCTTTCTTAAGTAATTTTACTCTCTTTTTGCTGTAACTTGATTTCTTCACTTTGAAAACTTCTTCGTTTTCTTTAAAAAGAAATTAAATGTCAACTGTAGCAATCATTTCTCATATATTATATTCCCTTTTTAGATAGCCATATGCAGTTTAGGTAGCTAGATTCCATTAATACAATTAGAAATTACATAGAATATGTAATTTTTTCCTAAAAAAAAAAAAAAAACCACAAAAACAACACAAAACTCCCTCCACTGCCATTGTGTTGGAATTAATTCATAGCTGAGGTGGGGGGGGGCAGTTTGGAGGCAGTAAATCACAGAGGATAGTTGCTGGTGGATTTCGATAGACAGACATCACCTTAGGGTTTAGCAGCAGGACTCCATACCCACTACACTACCACAGCTTTGTCAAGTATGTCACAGGCTCTCAAAAATTGAGGTCAACTTCATAAATTAATCTCGAATAATTCGGACTTGAAAATTCTTTAAAAAAAACAACACATTAACTATGACAAAAATTTATTTGAGTAGTTCTTGGAGGGAAACTTGAAAATATTTCGGGGAAAAAAGCATCATTTACCAAATTATTGAAGAATCTGAAATACCCAAATTCAAACCATTTGCAGTTTGTGAAACCCTTGTTTTTCAAGTCTAAACTGAGAGCAAACAACTTTATAAAAATCTGTGTATCTACTGTGAGCTCTTTAATTTGAAAATTTAAATGTCAAACACAAGCCACTTCACCAAATAGCTCCTCCATCACCAAAACGAGAACTCTGGCTGCACACCTCTCCAACAAAATGACAAACAACACCTACCTACCTTACTGAAAGCAAGAATGTGTCTTGCAGGGATGATCTTTACACAAAGACACATGACAAACACCTTGTCCCCAAGTAAAAAGATTGCTTAAGACTAGAAATCTAACGTGACTGCAAGAAGATCTATCTGGTACTACATATGTACTGCCTTTCGTTACTATTTGTCTCTCTGTTGTTACAAATAAGGAAAAAAAGAAAATCAGAAGGTTGAGCCAACTGTATTTACTGTTGGGGAAAACTAAGACTCAAAGGGTTGGCCCAAAGCCACTCACAACTTGGACTACAGTTGCTGGTTTCTATTTCCAGAACTAGAACTAACCCTTCGCAAACAAGCTTCCTAGCTGAGGATGCCTGTGCACCCCACAAATCATGGGTGACCGGCAGAGTTCAGGAGTAACAAGAGAAGTGAGGCAGGAGACGCCAGCAGGAAAGAGGCATGGCTGGGGAAGACAGATTTTCCCACTTAAAAAAAGAACCGAGCTGCGGTCCATCAAAGTAAAAACAAAATGTTAAAGAGTAGGTGGTTGTTAAGAAAAGGCTCGTGGCAGCGCGGGAACACGTCCCCTGGCTAGCAGAAGGCCGGAGGCGGGGAAAGATGCGCAGCGAGCGCGAAACTAAAGGGGCTCTGTTTAGGGTGCGGGGATTGAAAAGATCAAAGTAGGGTCTAGGGTTGCAAGGACTGCAGACCAGGGTAAGACAACAGGGCCCTAAATTAACACACAGCCACGACATCGGCAGTTTACCTTCTTCCTCGTCCTGGAAGCTGAGCAAACTGGCCCGAGGAACCTCTTTGTTCTCGCGTGGCCTCTTTCGAGGCTTCAGCCCGTTGCCGGGTTCTGTGCTGCCGGGGAAGCCTCCCCCAGGTTCAGTTCCAAGGCCGGGAATCAGGGTTGAAGACGGCGGCAGACCTGGGGCCAAGTGCGAGTCACCCCCGGGGGCCCGGTCGTTAGCAACGGGGCCCAATTCGTTGCCAGTGCCCGGTGGTGGCAAAAGCCGCGGTGGCACCAGTTCGTCATCGCGCTCCCATTCCTCCTCCGAGTAGTTCCGCTTGCGCACGTTCACTCGCCGGGCCTTTCGGAACATCCCCACGGTTCGTACTGCCGTCACACACCAGCTCCTACACTGCTTTCCTGGCAACACCGAGCTCGCCACAGCGCGCGCACACGCTCCCGGAGGTCCTGCCGGGTCGTGTCTTCCCTTCTTTACCGTTCGCTAGCTGGCGCTCTTGCGTCCGTGCGCTCAAGCCTTTACGGTCGCGCACCTCTCGCGAGAAAGTTAGGTTAGCATGCTGCCATCTATTGTACGGGAGGAGTATTTACAGGAAACCTTCAGCCTGTAACAGTGGTTCAAGATGGTCAGACGGGCCTCGGAAGGATCATAGAGACACGAAAGGAAAGAGTAGTGGAGAGGAATCCCTGCATTGCGTCTTCCGCACTTACGCGATGAGGTCACTTGATGAGATCACCGAGCGCTTTTTTCTGAGAAGTATAAATGGTGCGGGAGGGGAGGGGGGAACCAGATTTGAAACTGAGTTTGGTAGAGAGTTCGGCTGTAATTTGACGTTGATAATATTAGTAATTTAATTGAATAACTCAACTTCTAGCCATAAAGTACTTTCACAGACACTGAATTTTATTTGTAATAAAAATTTTACCTGTTGTGAAAAGTTCAACAAAATTAAAAAAAAAAAAAAACCACACACACAACATCAAAATTCCAGCCCTTAATTTCATCTACTCAGAACTAACTAGTAGCTGATCCCTTCAATAGATTTTCAGACTAGAGCAACTGGTGGGAAACAGTTTCATTGTTTCCCAAGAATACAAGCCTGCTGGCAGTTACATGACGGACGACATAGTAATAAGTAAAAGAAAAACAAAACCAAAAACCAAACAGGCTTTGGAAAGGGAATGTGTGCCATTTCAGACTTCTATCACAAAGATGTCATCTTGACTGGGATGACTTTTTACACAGGACAGTTGCTTCTGTGGTTGACTTTACCTGCTGTCCCTATTGCATCACCATTCTTGGGGCCTTTTCTGATGTGTGTATGTCTGCTTGTATGGGCAAGTACACTTTTATATTTCAAAATTCAAAGGATACAAAGGGCATTTAGTATGTTGTGAGGCAGTGTTAATTCCTCATGCTCTTTGAGAAATATTCAATGAAACAAAAAATAGCTGTATTTATGCTTCTCATGAATTTTCTTCTTTTTACGTAGATGGTGTGTACACTGCCCATATTTAGCATGGCTTCATACCTGTATTGACAGTCATTTTAACCCAGTTGCATGATGTCCTGCTGTCAGAATGTAAGACAATTTCTTTAACTGCTGTTGCATAGGCAGTGCAGAGTCTCTTGATATGGTGAAGTTAATTGGTGGTGGTGGTGTTATGTGCCATTGAGTCTCCTGGAACTCATAAGCTCTGAGCCCTGCCCTATCCTGAGCCAATCTCGTTATCTCCAACAGACCCACTCCTTTTTTCCAGTCACTGAACCAATCCATCTCATCCTGGGTCTTCCTCTCCTGTGCTTTTCCTCAACCCTTCCAAGCATGATGTCTCTCACCAAGGACTTGTCTAACCAGGCCATATGCCCAAAGTATATGAGATGGAGCTTCAAAGTCCTTGACTCCATGGAGCAGCTTGGCTTCACCCTCTGTAGGGCAGACCTGTTTGTTCTCCTGGCAGTCTGCAGTGTGTTCAACACTCTTCTCCAGTACCATAACTCAAAGGCACGAAACCTCCTTCTATGAGCCTCTGATTCTAGCTCTCTGATGCATATCAAGTAATTATGAAGACCATGACCTGAATCAGGCACACCTTAGTCGCCAAGTTCACTTTAGGGGCTTTAGGGATATAAGGAACATCAGGGTGATTCATAGACAAATGGGAGGAGACTATGGGGGGGGGGGAAATAACCCTAGCAGTATGGAGATTTTTAGATGGTTACCCAGCAGACACTGATGGATTTGAGACAAAGATTCTAAGGCAGCACTACAGGATGTTTGGTGGACCAATGAAAGGCTCCCTCTATTCTTCCAACATCAAGAAGATCTGAACAAGTCTTTTCTATTCATCCCAATCATTAAGTAATTAATGACAGGTGGCCCCACCTGGAATTACTTGAAGCAGAAGCCCAGATAGTTGATCAAAATGTAGATTGACAAGAAGGCCAGGGTCTTATGGTCCAACTCCTAGGAGAGGACCTGAGGCCATATGTTTATGTGTGGGTGAAATGTCCTTGCCATGGAGAATAAATCTGCTTGGGGCTTTTGAACATGGAAGGCCAATGTACTGTAATCCCCAAGCCTGTTGATAAAAATCTTGAAGGGTCCTAAAATTGTGTTACAAGAATATAGAAATGCAACAGTTGGTGGAACTAAGGGGAAAGTCTGGAAGAGAAGTGGGGAAATGTGAACAGATGTGCTATACAGTGGTTGCATCTACTTTACTTTATTGGTATAGCTATTATGTATAATAGGGAGCACTCCCTCTACCAAATATTGCAAAACTGAGGACATGTATGTCTGCCATGAGGCCTATATTGATTGGTAGGAACCACTAGAATTGCCTGAGCCTACTCAGGTGGTTAATTTGATACAGTATAGGATAGTCAGTGGGGGGAAAGAAATAACTGCTTTGATCTATTTTAAAAATAAATGATAAGTGAGAGGAAGGATAAATAATAGCTAAAGGTAAATGTTGGGGCCTGGCTAACTTGTAAAGCAAGATTAGCCCTGTGCCAAAAGACCAGCAAGACTAATTCTATCTTGGCTATAGAATCTGCTTGGCAGAAAACAACTCAAGAAAGTAGGATGTTAAAAAGTGAGCCATACTGCAGCCATTTTAAGCAAGTAGCCATTTCATACCAGATTCAACTGTGCAGATGTTTGGAAAGGAGCAAAAACAAGTTTAACCGTTCCTTGAACCCCAAGGCTAAGCAGGGATGGGTGGAATGGTATGTCTCTCCCTAAAGACTCTGTTCTGATGGCCTTGCTTGCTAATTGGAAGCAATCTTGCAGGTGGCGGGGATCTCAAAACAAGCATGTTGTTAGCCTTGAGACTGGGCTGTTTTTCTGTACTCTGCAAAAGAATATAACTTAGAATTTCTGGAATAAACCTTGGCTACTGACTATCAGTCTTAGCCTCTCTGTGTTCTTCATCCTCTGCTCTCCCCTTCCCTCACTGGCCCATGGCAATTGGCACCCGAAAGTGGGGCATGAAGGTACGAGAGATACGTCCGATGGACTTTCAACTGACCAGAAGCCAGGTGAGCTGAAAGCATTGAACACAGCGATGGGAAATAAATCAGGTAAGATGCTGTATATTCATATTTTATAGAATATTCTTAGAGTCAGAGGCGTTAAGGTTGAGTACCAGCAATTGTCTAGATTTTTGGATTTTGTAGAAAAGGTGTGTCCTTGGTTTCTAGAGAATGGCACGGTTGGTTTGGAATTGTGGAATAAAGTAGGAAAGAGGTTACAAGATTATTATGAAGGAAATGGGCCATCTAAAGTTCCAGCTGATACCTTTTCTTTATGGAGGCTAGTGAGGGATGCTTTGGATATCAGAAATGAAGTTGACAAATTAAAAAAGGAAATTACTAGTAATCATGAGAATGCTTCTCAAATGAATGATACTGAGAGTAGAGCTCCTTTATATCTTATCTTGCCTGAATATGAAACCCTATCAGGGAAAAATGGAGAGGATGAGTGACTTCCTCCTCCCACGCCGGCACAATCCGCTTTTTCAGCAGAAAAGCGAATCAAAACTAATTTAGAAGAACAAAGTGAAAGTACCAATGAAATATGTTAAAAACCCGGGGTGTAAAGTTAGATCCACAACAACTGTGTAAATTTCTTAATTTTGTAGACAAAGTCTGCCTTTGTGTATTTTGTATACTCTTTCCCTCTCCCATGCACTCTGTATGCGCAGCTACTAACCAGCTCTCTTTCTTCATCAACAGGAGAGTCCCAAGCAAAAGTGTCAGATTTAAAGGCAGTGCTGCAGCTGATTTATTTGTTACTTGTGTCTTTGGTCCTTTACCTCAAGGAACTGTGAGAATAATTATTGAATGTCATTAGTCAAAGTTCCAGGTTCATATTAGACGTAAAAATGAAGAGTTTACTAATGAAATTAATGAAATTATTGTTCCTTTTCCTACAAACTGGTTAAATAATTGCTCACCTTTCGCTTCTTTCTTTTCATGCATTTCCTAATATCAATAAATCAAAAGCAGGAGGATTTGAAAGTACTGGAAATTATTTGTCTTGAGAAACCATCATTAATGATCAAAGGTCCTCTCTTATGTTTTCTGTTAATAAAATTTCTTTTACAGGTCTTGTGGATTTAGGAGCTAATGTGTCTATTATTGTTAAAAATAATTAGCCTCTTAATTGGCCTTTGCACAAAATTAACATTAACTCTTTCTGGATTACGAACCTCTCCCAACGTTTGGCAGCTTAAGAATATTTATGATTGTACAGGACCTGATGGACAAAAGGCTCAGATGCAATTTTATGTGCTAAACATCACTGCTAATTTATGGGAAAGAGATTTATTAAAACAATTTGGAGGGTTTATTTTTATCTATCCCTCAGATGCTGTAAAAAAATACAAGTTAAATATGAATTACAATCTTTTAAACTAACAGCCACTATTCAGCAGCCTAAAGCCTTACCTCTTGTTTAATTAATTCAAACTCCTGTATGGACTGAACAACAGCCTCTTAATTCTAAAACCTTGCCCTTATTAGTTGAAAAACAGTTATGTAAAGCTCATATAGAACCTACAACTTTCCTTTGGAATTTTCCTGTCTTTGTTATTAATAAGAAAAGTATTAAAACTCTGAGGTATAAAACATAGTTAAGAAAAAGAAAAAGTTAAGAATAAAGAAAAAGAACAGTATAAAATGTAGTTTAGGATATTAAGAAGAAAAAGTTAATAAAGAAAAATAAGAATATAAAACATAGTTAAGAATAAGAAGAAAAACGTGTTAACACAGAAATATGAAGAAAAGTTAAAAATAAGAATAAAAGTGCTATAACTTAAAACAGAGGCCTCAAAATGTTTGTGTTAATT